TTTAAGGAACTATTTTTATTTAAAAGATTAGGCTTGATGTGTGTACATTTATTTATTTATATATATATTTATTTCATTTTTTTATATTAGTTGCACAACGAAAAATAATATTTTTCTATCTTTTATCTCACTCTACTAACATATCATGTGACTTGAATTTAAAATTTTTTATTTTCAGTAAAAGGAAATTACTATTGAAACACTTAAGTCATTGACCATTTATTTATTTAACACAACTTCTTTTTTTTTTTTTTTTTGTAAATTTAGAATCATAGAAAACAACATACCTGTAACATTTCTGTTTTTGTAGAAGATATTTCTAGCACACAAAATTTGGAACAAATATCTTTGCAATTTGTACAGAATGAGGGTGAAAGGTTGACTATTATAACACCCAAAATGATTCATATCCAACAACTTTACTTCATCGGGAGTCTTCAATTCAATTCACATTACGAATAACTTCCCTTCTAGCAAGGATTCCACTTATTTATAAATTAATCTGGAATTTCCTGCAACTCCGATTCACTACTCCGACTGAAGGATTTTTCTCTAATGGTGTCTAAAACTGGCTTCCAAGATCGCGCTCGAGTTGACATGTTAGGACAGCTTAGGGGGGAGTTACCGTTGCATACAGGTTCATGTTCATAGTGACCTAATAAGGGACTTGTTGTTGATGATGGTGACCTGGTCATCTTACAACTTGCTTTTGCAGTAAGCTTCTTCGCTATGGAGGCCAAGTCAAGAGGGGAAACATCAGCTTGTAAGATTGAGAATGGAAGGAGAAAGTAAACATGACCCGGTTTCAGCATGGTGTCAGGTTGAAGAGGTTTTGAATAATTGGAGAGAAGTTGCGCCGGAGTGCAGAGGAATTCTTTCTCGGTGTCGCCATTCCCTGTAACCTGGTTGACTGTAAGAGGATGCTCAAAGGCTTCTACGTCGCCATTCAAGTGAACCACACGAATAATATGATTGTTGAATTTAGGAGATGACTGACATGAGATACCGCAACCCATTTCTCCCTCTTCTTTTTGCTTGCACTTTTAGTATACTTGAAAGAGGTCAGGGCAGAATCTATTAATCAACCTGTATATATATAAGGAGAGGAGATCATTTGCCAACTTGGAATATTGCGTTAAATAAACTTGAGTAGACTTGGTTCAGGTGAAACCTAGAGTTGAAATGGCAATTCAATTGAACGCTGATGTAATTGGAATTGATTCATTCAAACAAACATTTGACCTTAATTTATATTTTTCCCTTTTTTTTTGGATGTTGGAGGTATCTTGATTGGGTCAATTTACATGTACAAGACTAATAAAAAAATTTATTTGAACGATTATAGTATTAGGGGATGTATGAAAGAAATTGTCTTCATTTGCCCTCTAATAGATGTTACTCAATGAATAAGGTGAGGATGATTAATGCAAGGGACAAAAGGCATTGGATCTAAATAATTGAAGAGGGTTTTAGTCAATGGTTTAATTGCTTTCTTGTTTGGTTTGGTTGAAAGAGCCAATGAATGAATTATATGGATATGCTTTTGTTGGGGCATTGATTGAAAAATGGCAGACCCACAAAGGCTTTGATAAGAGATAAGAATCTGAGTGCTTTTTTGCTCCAAGATGGATGATGATTGATATTTTACAGAAGGGACAATTGGCATTTACTTGAAAGCAAGGTGTTTCCTGGCGTTTACTTGAAACCAAGCTGTTTCTTGGTCCAAATTGAAGCATTCATCTTGAGCAATTTGATTTTATATTTATATGTGCGATTTGTGGGCTATGTCCATCATGCTAATTAAGTGCTCAAATAACCAACTCCTAAGAAAAATGGGAAGGTTTAGTTGAATGGATCTCGTGACCTGTTCTTGTTACCATTGATTGGTGCACTACCTACAGCTTTTATTTGGGAGAGTTCCAATATCTATAAGTTGCTCGTAGTTATGCCTTGAAAGTTAAAAGGGATATCGTAAGGGTTTATACTTAAGAGATTGAACCTTCATATTAAAAGTCTCGAATTCAAATCACATTAAGAATAATGAGAAGTTTAAAAAATGGAAAGCCAGACGCCTACACCTATTGTATAGCCATTATCATATGTATGAAAAAAATAAAAAAAAATAAAAAGAAATGAAAAAGAAACGTCTGCAACTTCAGAAGTTGGGATTTTGATTTATGAATTCAGATTAAGATGAATAAGGGAAAGAGAGAGAATATCTAAGAAGCTTGTCTATTATGTACATTAAGAAGTTTGAAGACTACAAACATTCATTCCCCTAACTGGATATACATCTACAATATATAAAAACATATAAATCTTTCTTCTCAATTAAATCACTATATTTATCTGCTTAATCTCTTGACCACCCAAGCAAAGCAAGAATTATGCCAAATATGTTACCGCTGATTACAGCCTTGAATAATTTTTGCTTTTCAGGTGTGTACGGTGGGTACCTCAAGGAAGAATCTCCAGCAAAGCTTCTGTATAGAACAGCCTTCTTGTGACTAAATGTCTCAAAGGAGAATTTTCCATGGTATAAACCCATTCCACTCTCCCCAACTCCTCCGAAAGGTAAACCAGAGACTGATACCTGCAGAGTTTGTGTAGATCATGTATCTGTTACATAAGATAAAATGCGCATATTGCTAGGATGCATGTCTAGAAACTGAAGAAACATGAAACATTATCCAGAGATGAAACCTGCTTTCACCAGCTCATATTACTTAACATCCTGAGAATGACTACTAAAATTCTTCTAATGACTAGAAGAGATTCAGAACTTAATCCAACAGTTTCAAGACTTCAATCTTTGTATCCATTTTTAACAATCAGACACCAGCTATTTGGCAGCATACTGCCAATTTGGTTTTGATCCAGTCACTTTATCCACTACAACGTGTTAAGTTTCTAGTAAATTGATGTTAGTTCCTTATTTTAGTCAGGATGTGAGATTGTAACTTGTGATGCATTTTGTTGAAATAAAATGGTAACAAACAGAAATTTAGCATGCTTTTCCAGTGAATTTTAGAAAATGCAGAATTACTTGTATGACGGTGTCATTGATGGCCATCCCCCCAGAAGATACATTCTGAACAAACTTCTTTTTCAGCTGCTCATCATCACTGAAAAGATAGGCAACAAGAGGTTTGGACTTTTCATTGATCATTTCAAAGCTATCTTCCACGTTGTCAACCTGTTATAAAACCAAGAAAACTTAGGTTAATTCAATAGATCCTGCATCTCACCCCAAAAACAATGAAACTTCCAGAGGAAAATCATTACTATTATTGTTTAAAAAAAAAAAAAAAAAACTATCCTGAAAACTCCTGACACCTAAACCAGTATGGATGTCATTAAACAAAGAAAAGAAACAATCTTCTCAAAAGCAATGGTGGTTGTAAAAAATAAATAGTTAAAAAAAAAAGGTTCAGAGAATAGCATCAATAGAACACTGGAGAACTCACACGAAAATCAGCTTAAAATGAACAACCCTGCCCAATAATGTCAGATATACGATCCCCTATTTGGTTTAAGAGAACAAGCCGATAAAAATCCAGAATTAAATACGGATCTAATGGCCACTGTCATGACACAAAAGCAAAAACACTAACAGTCAATATGGGTAGTAAGGGCCCAAATATTTCCTCTTGCATGATCAGTGAGTCTTCAGGGACATTCAACAATATTGTTGGGGCTATTTGTCTGCAAACCAGATGGAAGTTGTTATATCACAATCATAAATGTAATAGATTGGCAAACCCAAATAAATAAATGTAACAGATTAGCCAGATCTGAAACCAGAGGGAGATATCATCAAACTCACAGTTGGCTTTCATCCCTCTGGGCTCCAAGGACAATTTTATCAGAGACCTTATCCTCATCCATTAGGCCAACCAAACGTTTGAAGTGGAATGAGTTCACAATGCGGGACCGGTCCTTTGATTCAAATGGATCTTTTCCAAAGAATTCCTCCAATCCATTTCTCAGTGCGTCTATCTGTTTGAGCAAGTGTTTTTGAGAAAAACACCTTTGGAATAAACAGTTTTATTTCTTAAGACAATCTTACCAACTTTGGAGCAAAATCTTTTGTTGTTATTATATAGTCAACACCAATACAAGCTTGTCCGTTATTGCATGCCCACTTCCCTGCTATAATCCTCCTCACAGCAACCTTGAAACCAGGTAAATCAGATCCATAGAATAGTACATGTGAATGGAAAGCCAAAGATACATAGAAATATCCTTACTTCTATATTAACATTTGAATCCACAACGGCTGGACACTTTCCTCCAAGTTCCAGAACTACTGGTGTTAGGTGCTTAGCTGCTGCAGTCAGTACAATGCGCCCTACTCTTCCCCCACCTAAGCCATATATTGCTAAGACTTGAGCCAGGACCAAAAAAGAAAAAAGAGAAGAAGAAAAAAAAAAAGAAAAAGGAATAGACACCTCTGGGAATTGATGCAAACTAAATGGAGCTTAGAGGGACTCTTTAAGTATCTTGTCAAGAGCTGGTTGCTTAGTGATTCATTTTGAGACTGTATAATCTTTATTGAGCATGTAATAAGAATAACCAAACCACCAAATTAGGAGACTCTTGGCATTGGATGATTAAGTTCGGATAGCTATAAACTACAAGATTAGGAGATCAAACCTCCTAGAATATTTCAACCAAATGCTCATTCTCAAAGTCAGACAGATAATCTGCTACTGTATTTGTGCACTATGAACCTATTATCCTGAGTTCTTGAAATTAATATAGCAAAAAGAAAAAAACTTGTTTGTATCAAAGAACTTTGGATGGAGCATAGTATACCTGTAAAGAAGATTTTATCCCATTTTTGCTCTAATAATGCTGATGTCTCAGCAACAGCACCCTCAACAACTGTGATGGCCGATCTGTCTACATATTTCTCTAATAATTTTGCAAGAACCGATGATGTGGCTGGAGCAAGTTCTGATGGTTTAAGGACCACAGCATTACCAGCTGCAACGGCTCCAATCACAGGATCAAGAGACAACACTGGCAAAATGTATAAACATCCATCCTTTGAAAAAAAGGCATAATCTAAAACATCCCATTTTAGATTAATCATAAGTTGAATATGTACATACAAAACGGGAAGTTCCAGGTTGAGATGACCAAGACAACTCCTAGAGGTTCTGACACAATCTCTGCTGAAGATGGATATAATGAAATTGAAGTTTTAACCTAAAAACATGATCATCAGAACTATGCATTATCAAGGATACATAGACTCAACAAACTTCCACTAATCCACCCTCAAATTGTAGCAGCAATTACCTTTTCTGGAGTCATCCAACGTTTCAACTGTTCCAGAGCCTCTTTACTGGAGGATTTTAGCATAGTAATCTACAAAACAAAAGCACGTTTAGTACATCCAGAAATCAAAATTTCAGAGAAAACAAAAAGCGAGAATTACAGACCTCTGCGGTGAAAGATTCAAGCTCCGGCTTCCCGAGGTCCTCATAAAGAGCTTCTATAATCATCTTCTCGTTTTCATCAATCATCCTCAAGATGCTCTGCAACTGCGCCACTCTCCATTCATAGCTCTTGGTCCTTCCCGAACGGAAGTTGTTCCGAAGGTCCTTAACCAGCGAAGCAGCTCGCTCCGCATCGAATGTTCGCTTCTGTTCCTCCAGTACCGGAAGTGTTGTCGCACACAGGCAACTTTTCCGGCAAGATCGAAGATGTATCAGTAGCCAAAATTGAGGCAAATGCCATTGATTGTGAAGAAAAGAACAAAAAAAGGGGGAAAGTAGGAGTTACTGAAATGAAGAAGAAAGGTGGCTGCTTTGCCGGAGATGAAGATTATTCCTCCTATACGCTTGTCGGAATTTATAGTCTCCACTTGGTCTATTGCAGCAATTACTGTTCACAGTTCAATTAATCAAAACTTATAAAACAATTAAAACAATAGAACCTTTTATTAATATACTAAAATTTGTTCTTTATAACTTAAATTTTGCATTTCTTCTAGACACACAGAAAAGATTTGAGAATATATCTTGCTCGGAACAAGAATAGAGAATCAAATTAACTGCTTGCAAGGAAATAAAATTCTGGGTGGAACTGGAAAATACCTCCAGTTGCTGAGCATCACAACAGAGAGTGTAGCCATGGCGATTGGTAGTGAGGGGGTGAGTGAAACAAGTCATCCAAAAATTCTTTCTTCAAGACAAGAGAAGGAAAAAAAAAAAAAAGTTTCACTTTTTAGGAGTAGATGCGTGTTGATGACAAATGGATTGGGAAAATGTAGTTCACATTCAGTTCAACGAAAAACATAGGTGAGTGTTTTCCAGCCATAGAAACTGAATTATCTAAACAAGATTGCTTCTTCATGTCTACATCTCTTTCTAGTACCTATTTTTGTCGATTCTTTTTTTCTCTGGACATTAGGACACCATAAAAGCCGTTAGGTATAACCAACAAAAAAAAAAAACATGCATGCTTCGTATGCCTGCTTGTGCTGGTACCTAGTACTAGTTTAGATTGGACAAGAGAGTCTTATGTATGGTTACTATCACTTCTACAAAAAAAGAGAAAAAAAAAAAAGGGTTGAAGATAGACCATCCAGTTAAACCCTACCCAAGGTCAAGGTTTGCTTTATAGTTTACTGACCACAACAGCTATGAATTTCAACTTCCATTTTCATTATGATTAGTATTTCCACACGCTCTGTAAG